CATTTTCTTTTTAGTCTCCTTTAATCTGAAAAGTTTTTTATAAAAAAGTGACATTTGTGAAGGCTATATCAGCTATTCTAGAGAAATGTCTTTCAGTTTGGATTTGCCTGATTATTTCCCCTTGATTTAGATTTAGGCAATGTATTTTGACAGAAATACTACCTAAGAGATCTTGTGTCCTTCTCAGTACACATTATCGGATCTCACGTATGACATGATGCTTCTGTCTTGGTTTAGGTCGTATCTACCAGGTTTTTCCACTATGATTGTACTATTTTGTTCTTTGTTATCGATGAGTAACTACTTTTATATTGTGCAAATATGCTGTCCTCCATCAAATTTCCACCCATTGTTCCAATCGCTCCCTGATTATCCTTGATCAAATCAATTACTGGTATGATGTGGAAGATATTTACAAAATTATGGTTTTTCAATATCATTTCATTTAGTGGTTTGCAACCTACTGGAATAAAGCACGGTCTCTCTCTCTCTTCATTCTTCCCTCACTTCCCTTACCTCTTTTCTCCTCTTCCTCTCCCTCCCTTTCTCTTACCAATGCAAATTCAGATATTTTTAATTCAATGGTTTTTAATTCATTACTTTCATTATTCATCCTGACGTTCAAACTGTCCCAGATTTCAGCAACATGCCCTTCAAGCTGGTTCATATATCCTTGTGATAGCCTTTCATTTTTCGTAAATTTCTTTACTTTCTGTTTATCTTCTGGAGTAAGAGCTGCAGGCTCATCTTGTACATTCCCAGTCCCAGACCTGGAATCAATTATTTCAAGGACCCATGGTTACTAGTGGGGAATGGTACTGAGAAACCAGTGACTCATAGTTATTGAGGTGTCATTGCTTCTGGAGCTTTTCAGTAGAGAAAGCTGGAAACAATATGTAAGTGTACATTAGTATATATGTTTTTTAAAATGAGTTCATACTGGGCCTCCCTGGTGGCGCAGGTGGTTGAGCGCAGCACTGTGGAGCTGTCAGCAGCCTCTGCAGTGCCGGTTCGATCCCTGCCAGCCTCTGAGCAACCCACATGGTGAGCAGACCTCTCCTGTCTCGCCCGCTGCTCCCCTCAGCAGTGTGTTTCTTCAGTCTGCCTGTTCTGCTCCCCACTCTGTCTCTCGTGAATCCTCTCACCCTCCCGCACATCTGGCCTGTATCCCAGTTCTTGTATAAAAATAAAAATAAATCTTTTAAAAAAATAAATAAATAAAATGAGTTCATACTGGTACTACTAATTCCACCGTGTTATCACTGAGATTTTTCCTATTCCATATCTCAATTTCTCTTCTCCCACTGAAATGGAAACACTGATATATAAACACTATATTTGTTATATATTCATATTGATATATTTATTCTAACACACTGATTTTTATTCATTTGCTCTGTTCTACAACACAGGCACAATAGTTACAGAATTGCTACAGCAACAGGGCTACAATGACAAATCTAACTAGAGTTCAGTCAAGATTTCTTTAAAGTTCATTTGTCTTTAAATATATACGGTAAAAGAAAATATACAGCAAATACTGTGTTCAAAAATTACCTTTGGGTTTGTTGGCATCTGCCTCCTTATCTTTGTTGATTTAATTACAATTTTTTAATGTGCAGAACCTCAACATGGTTGTAAAAGTAAAAAATTCTACAGAAATGTCCAGAGAAGGCTTACTCCCCTTTTCCTACCCTTTCACCTACACCTTCCACTTCCCAGAGGTGACTGATTTCATGGTTTCTGCTTATTTATTCTGTTTGTGCATGCAAACACTATATACGTAAATTCTGATTTCCCCTCTTGTGTTAACCCAAAAAGTATATTAAAATAATCCTTAAAGATATGGAAAAGATATTCAATGTCACTCATAAGGGAAATAAAACTTAAAATTACATTACAATATCATATTTCATTTGCCAATTTGGTAAAAAATTCAAATGCTTAACCACATAGTCTGTGGGTGAGCTGTGGAGAAACAGGCCTTGCAATTGGGAAGGCAAAATGGTGTAACTCTCGTGCAGGGAAATTTGGCAATATCTCAGAAAACATATACATTTACCCTTTGGTCAGCACTACCATTTCTAGGTTTTTACCCTAAATATAGAGTTCTAGCAATATAAAATCAGGTGCACAAGGTTATTCATTATATATATTGTCGTAAATAAAAACCAGTAGAAACAACTCTAAGAGTCTATATATGGGAAATTCAGGATAAATATTGGTACATCTATATAACGTGGTGCTACGTGGCTATGAAAAATAACTTAAAAAAAAAGAGAGAGATCATCCCTTAATGATTCTTCATTCTTAACAAGAATTCCAAGTCCAGTCAGGTACCCTTCTGAGAGCCCCCTCTGTTCTCTTCTTACATACCACATCATGTCTTCTTTCCTTATCCTCCTAAGAGCCCATGATTAATTACCACAATCATTCTCTTACAAACAGACACTCCCCAACCCTGGATGACCCACTGTATTTTCAACTTTTCCTTTCTCTGTTGAGCCATCCCCTTGAGAACAAAAATGCTCATGTCTCTCTAATCTAAAAAAGTCCTTCCTTGATGCCAATATCACATCTAACTATGGCCTTCTCTTTCTCTTCCCTTTCATTACCAGTCTGAAGCAGTAGTCTTCATTTGATATTTTCACTTCCTCACTTTCCAGTAATACTTGAACTCATGTCTGTCAATACCATGTGCCACAGAAATGGCTTTGCCACAAGGTTACCATTATAGCTTCCTTGCCCTAAATCTATGAGCACTTCTTAGTTCTTACTTGATCCTGGCAGTATCTGACAGTGCTAGCAACTTCCTTCTCAATGAAACTTTCTTCTTCTGGGTTCTGCCACATCATCCTGTTTTCCTTTTAGCCCCCTTTTTTGCTCTTTCTTGATAATGATACCCTTTGTATATTCTCCTTTGTCCACCTGGTCCTTATGTTGGCCTTCTTTATAGCTCCATCTGAGTCTTCCTTCCCATTCCCACATTCTTTAAAGGCAGTCATAACTTGCTTTCCTTGTCTCAACCTACATGCTGCTCACTGCTGTCCAACTGACATCTCCAGAACATACCTCTAAACTAGTTCAGATATCCCAACTGCCTACACAAGCAGTGCTAGACAACCCACAGCCTATGGCTCCAGAACACCCTTAACCAAGCTTATCATCTTTACCCTCAAATCTATTTTCTCGGGCCTCCCCAGTGGCGCAGTGGTTGAGCTCTGGGTTGCGAAGCTCCCCGTGGCCTCTGCAGCGCCGGTTCGATCCTCGGCTGCTCCCCAGCTGCTCCCCGGCCACCGGAGGAGGGTCCCACATGGCGGCAGACCCCTCCTGCCACCCGCTGCTCCCCTCAGCAGTGTACTTTGGTCCTTCTGCCTGCTCTGCTCCCCGCTCTGGCTCTGGTGAATTCTCTCACCCTCCCGCGCTTCTGACTGTACCCAGTGCTTGTATAAACAAACAAACAAACAAACAAATAAATAAATAAAAATACATGAAAAAAAAAATCTATTTTCTCTTCAGCCCTCCCTAACTCAGCAAATACTACCACCACCAGCCTGCCATTCAGGCCAGAAACAGTATCTGTAATCTCTCTCTTTTCCTAACTTTCTACATTCAGTCACCAAGAATTCTGTTAATTCTACCTCTTACACGTCCTTCAAATTCACTGTCTTCCCTCCACCACGATCTAAGTTCAGGTAACTCATCATTTATCCCCAAATCACTGCCTCTTAAATGGTCTGTCTCCAGTTAAACCTCTACAATCTTCACTTTGAAGTCAGGATTATTTTTTTTAATAGCTTATCTATGATCACATTGTTCCCAAAATTAAAAAACAAAACAAAACAAAAAACCACCATTCAATGGCTCTCCACTGGCCTTCAGATAGTCCATAGACTTCAGCATAGCTCACAATGTCCTTTATCATGAACATCCCACCCATATTCACCTCACTAATCTCATCTATATTCTTTTTCCACATGTATTCTGTGATCATCTGTTCCCTTGAACTCAATACCCTCTACTCTTTCTTGCATTACTTAAATGCTGTTCCCCTGACTGGAACACTTTTTCTCTCCTAACCTCCCTCAAATCTAGCTAGCTCCTCCCATCCATCTTTCAAGTATCAACTAGGTTATATTTGTCTTAGGAAGCCAAAGTGAGATTTTTCTGGCCCCTTATGTTTCACTCATTTGTGAAATTTCTCAGATTAATGATGAACAGGGCTTCGCTGGTGGCGCAAGGGGTTAAGTGTCAGCACTATGAAGCTATCCGCAGCCACTGCAGCATGAGTTCAATCCCTGGCCAGGGAGGTGACCCACATGGCGCAGCAAACCTCTTGTCTCACCCGCTGCTCCCCTCAGCAGTGTATATCAGTCAGTCTTCCTGTTTTGTCTCTGGTGAATTCTCACCCTCCCACACCTCTGGCCTAGACCCCAGTTCTTGTATGCATAAATAAATAAAATAAATCTTAAAAAAAAAACCAAAAACATGATCATGAGGAAGAAAAGGGAATGGAACTAATATTATGGAGTGTCTCTGTGTTAGGCACAGTGGAAAAGATGAACTTCTTGTTCTCCAAGGACTGCACGGAATAACACTGGACAAAGTACTTGACGTTTCTACACTTTTTAAAAAAAATACCTATACCCTATCTACCTCCCCACAACATTTCTTTGAAGCTAAAATGAGAAAGCATAAATGTGTATGTTTATGAAAACATTTTGTAAACTCAATTCCTGTACAAAAGTAAGAATCATTATAGTCCAAGTCAACAGTAAAGACAGTGCTGTGCAATTCAACAAACTTCCCCAAGCACAATGCAAATAATATGAGCAAAAATAAATTTCTGCGTGACCAAGTCAATCGCTCATCTTGATTCAGATGATTTATAATAGAACTGCTGGAAAGGAGAGGTAGCCTTCAGGTATGACTTATAGAGAAAAACAGAGAGCAGAAAAACAGAGAGCATCTGCATCTAGCATACACAATGCATCTCTCACCTGTAGCTCTGCTTCGAGGCCTAGTCGCCGGATAAAGGGGTCAGTGACATGGTAGCGCCGCTCAAAGCTCAAGGCACCCCGCTCCTAGAGGACAGAAACAAACTCACAGTTTCATTGGTTCAATTCAACATGATTTGCTATGTACCTGTTATATATGCAGTGCTGTGCTGGGCACTGCTGGAGTTAGAAAAGATAGCAAAAAATTGGTATAAAAAATTAGTATAGCAGGAGCTATTCTACGTATACTACACTTGGAAGGGATTAAAGAATAATAGTAGAGAGTATATAATTAAACACTAAGTTAAGCTTGTTAGGCCACACACAAAAAGGAGGGAATAACAAACAGGGAATACTTCCCTATTTAGGCTGACTCAGGTGGGCAACATCTTTAGAACACACGTATATACAAAGGAAAAACCACCTACATGGTCCCTCCAACTCTATGATTCTGTGCCTCTAAGAAATGATCATTGCCTTTGAGGGCCACCATTTTAATGCAGTCATAAAAACCACAAATGGGCAAAGCTCCAAAATGATTCAGGGATGCAAGGGAAAAGACACGAAACACACAGACTCATATGTACCAAGTACATGGCTTGTGTAGAGCCATAACCTCAATCCTTCTGGGAGGGGACCACAACTTAAGCTGCACATCACTTAATTTTTAAAACATTTTTATCTAACAAAATTTTCTAGCACTTAATCTTTTCTAAGAACTTTCTTGTGTTCTTTGAATTTTATTCTCAAGATCAGCCTGCATACAGACAGACATTATCATTTAACAATAGAAACCAAGACACAAGGAGGAAAAAACAAAGTTTTACAGGTAGGTAGTTAATTAGGGCAGTGGTGAGATTAAGTTCCTGACCCCAGTTTGGGGTTCTTACTACAGAACTATCTTATATCTTGGTCAAATCTCTTGCATTAAACCCCCTTGCTTTTTTACTGAGGGTTCCTCTGAAAAGCCTGGGCTACCCCATGAAAGAAACTTGAATGCCCAGACACCCATTTATTTCATAGCACTGGTGTGTTTTCTATGTACAAACTGTAGAGGACAAGTGTAGGCTTTGATAATAGAGACTCTTATAGACGAGAAAAGAAATCTATGCTGAACTGGAACAAAGACTCTCCCAGTGTCTGTTACATGTACAAGCTGACAGCTGCACCAACATGAAGAAGTTGTTTTCTCCTGCTGAAGCTCACTCCCACAACATGCATACACAGAGATGTGCACACACATGGACAATACGCTGATGGCTCCCCTCCCTCACTGGCCTCCATTAATTTCAGCATCCCAGGTACAAGGGCTTAGACAGAGGTGTCCCACGAATTCCATTTTCTTAGGTAAATGTAGACAGGAGTCAAGAGACCTTGATTCTAGTCCTGGGTCTGCCACTAACTAGTTATATGGTTTTAGGCAAGTCACTGACTCTACATCTCAGTTTCTTTGGTTGTAAAATGAATCTGTGGGGAAGAAAGGACTTCAAATTCCGGTTCAGAGATGTGGCCGCTTACCTTGATCTGTCTACAGATGAGGTCTCTAGTTATGTTGACTTTTGCCATCTTCTCTTAATGAGTTCAACAGAAGGAAGCTATAGAAGGATCTTCAGGACCCTTGAGCATTCCAGCCAAGTCCAGGTCCACAAGACACACATTTAATTACCTGGAAAAAAAAATCATCCAACCTTGGAGGATGGGATAAGATGGCTTCAGAGGCCTGATTCCACTTCTAAAACAGCCCACCAGTCAACCCAACGAATTGGCTACTGCCTTTGATTAATGGCGTGCTCGATGATGCTGAAAATGGTAGTGATAAAAACCTCTGAAATGGGTAAAGAGGATGGGGTGGGTAAGAGAGATAATGACTCACAGTCACAGGTATCAGAGCAAACACTGAAGGAGTCATATATGCTTCATCAGAAAAATGGGGAGTTGAATATGAGTATGAAGGAAGATAGAAGCATATCTGGAAGTTAAGAACAAAGCAAAAGGCCAGAAAGATGTTATTTCACTTGGTCAGTATGCATCTGTGGCAATCAGTCGGAAACTTAATTGTTCTTCAAATCTCTGACCCTAGCTTTGCTCTCCCAAAAACCTAATCAGTGATCACAAACATTCAACCCAACAGAGTCACAGAATCAAAGAGTGGAAAGGAAATGTAATGAGGATCATGTCCAAGATCCAACTGGATAAAGAAATCCCTCTTCAATATCTTAATAGGTAGGCTTTGAGTCTCACAACTTCTTGAAGCAACCCATTCCTTTGTTATATAACTTGGATCTCTAGAAAGATTTAGTAATCTCATTTCTAATCTCATTATCACAGATTTTGCAAAGGCAAAAAAATTAAAACCACCCAGGTTTCCAATGATAGAGGAATAGCTAAAATAATGGACAACCATATAATATCATATAGATATTAGAAATGCTACTTACACAGGAAAAAATGTTAATATCATATCAAATGTTTATGATAATGTGTTGCTTTTTCAGCAAACACTATTAGTACAGCTATATTTAAAAAAGGAAATATAAAAAATTAATAATGCGCTCCTTGGATAACAGTTTGGGTTTTTTTTGACTTTGTGATGTTTTCAATAAAAGTACATTAAATCTGCAATCAGGAGAAAATCACTTATGGGGAAAAAAATAAACAAGTTAGTTTTAAAAGAAAATTCTGCCTCCTATTGGTGTTGGTTCTACCTCTGGAGCCACACAGAAGGGCTAATCTCTCTTCCCCATGATGGGCCTCTGTGCTGTGATGGTGGCTGTCAGAATCCACAGGATGCCTCCCTGTCAACCCTTCAAAGCCGCACCTGGATCTCCTGGCCTTGGCTTTCCATCAGCTGGTCTCCTGCAGATTCCAAGCACACCCTCCTGAAATCACACCTGATCTGTGAGCAGAAGCCTTCCTTTTCTTTGGCATTTAACCACAAAAGGAAACGCTCTACATAACACTATGTTAATGCAGATTTTTTAATGTTGTTATTTATTTATTAAAGATGTGTTTATTTATTCAAGAATGGGGTTATAGGCCAGAGGCACAGAAGTGGGGAACAGAACAGGTGGATTGACTGAAATACACTGCTGAAGGGAGCAGTGGGCGATACAGGAGAGGTCTGCCGCACCATGTGGGTATCTCCCTGGCCGGCTGGGATCGAACCCACGCTGCAGAGGCTGCAGATAGCTTCACAGCACTGTGCTCAACCCGCTGCACCACCTGGGAGGCCCCAAATACAGATTTTTTTTTTCTTTAGTGCCAAGCACACAGTAGGACGATAAAGAACATGCTGTCTGATTAGATGTTCTCATTTGGTCTGAGTTCTTTGGGGCTTATGCCTCCACATATTTGGGGAGCATAATATTTTAAAAGGGCAAGAATCTACCCTTACAATGTAGAAGCTATCTAGCATTGCATCTGAGTAAGCACAAAACCCTGTAAGCACCATGAACACTCATAAATACCAGTTAAAAACAATTCCGTGGTGGCTTTTTCAGAGGCCTTTGACCATTAAGTAAAAAATATGAAAGTGAATAAATTGACACAAGCTAAACACTGGTCTGCAAATGTGTCTACAGCTATGCCTTGGGGCATAATGGTCAGAGGCAAAACAAAAGTAATTTCTTCCACTGAGGGGAAGGAGGGGGCAGGAGAGAGAGGATGATAGGGTGGTGGCACTGGAGAGTCGGTGGAGGGGAGTGAGGCAGATGTACATATGTAGGTGTGAGGCTGTGTTCCCAAAATGAGTTCTATCAACTAGTTATTAGTTATGTAAACTAATAAAACCTGGGGGGAAATGACGGTATTCTGACAGTTAAAAAAAAAATTCTCCCACAATCACAATACGGGGTGAAGCTTATTGTAATGGAAAGACTACCAAAGCCAATGAGTACATCTTGTCTTAACTAAGACCAGTTATGTTACCTTCCCATCTCTTCATCTCTCCAAGTGTGTACCCACTCCTGGGATCCACATACTTGGAATGTGCCCATTCCATGTACCCATTCCTGGGATTCCTGGGAAGTGCTGGGCCAAACACAGAAAGGATCACATAGGCATCACCAGAAAAAGGCTCATTTTTTACTAGTGCCCTTTTCCCTGGAGGACTGCTGGGAGAGCCAAATGAAATAATCTAAGTAAAAAGGGTTTTTCTTTACCATATTTTGAAAAGAAGATAAATTTATCTTTAACATGTTGACAAATACTATACACTTCTTATGTACTAGGAATTGTATGAGGTGCTTTGTATTTATTCATTCAACAAAGGAGCACAAGAAGTTTCTACTATACACCAGGTATTATTCCAGGTCCAGAGGTACAGCAGTCAACGAAACAGGCAAGTTCTTTCCTCTCACAGTACTTACATTCTAGCAGGAAGGGATAGATAATACACACCAATACAAATAAGAATATATCCAGTAGTAAAAAACAGATTTTAAAAAAAAGCTGCTATGAAAGTGAGCGATGACCAATGTTAAACTTGAGGTCTAGAAGTGGACATTTATACTTTGCTGATTGTTTCTATATTATGTTAATTCCCCACCTAATGAGTCTGGCAGAAAGCAGTGTGCCTTCCCACTAGGAAGTGAGTGGCAGAGACTCAGCCTCTTATCTGAGGCCACCTTGCAGCGACAGGGTATGCATATGGCCCAGGCTATGCCAACCATCCCAGAACTTAACTGGGATTTGGTGTCAAAATATCCGAGGACATAGAGAGTCTATGCTGGCAGCAAGGGGTGGCTACAGAAGTCATTAAGGTGCAGAGCAGCAGATGATAGTTGTGGGAGTTGTAAAAGTAGCAGCAGTGTCCTCACGGACTAATTCTGTGAATGACTTTGGCTGTGGGTCCTGGCTGCTACCCAGATTCCCTTATTCCAGCCCATTCTTTAAGTTTGATTTCGTGGCCTTCCCTAATACTTCGTGAGTTTCTCTAACATCCCTTCAGTAATCAGCCAGAGTTGCTTTTTTTTTGGTTTGCTTTAAGATCTATTTATTATTTATTTATGCATACAAGAACTGGGGTGAAGGCCAGAGATACAGGGGGACAGACAATTCACCAGAGACAGAGGGGGGAGCAGAACAGGCAGATCTACTGAAATACACTGCTGAGGGGAGCAGCAGGCGACACAGGAGAAGTCTGCTGCAGTGACTGGCGAGAGCATGATAGTGCTGAGACTTTAACTCCTGTACCACCAGGGAGGCCCCAGACTTGCTTTCTGTTGCTTATAAATACAAATCTTGTCTGAAAAGATGACATTTAGGCTAAAATATGAAGGACAAGCAGTTACAACAAGCTAGGGAAGGACCCTTCCGAGGTGAGACAACTTATACCAAGGCTGTAAAAGAGGGCTGGTTTAAAACACTTGTATGCTATTACTATCATCGTTTTACAGATGAGGAAACATTCTTTTTCACAACGTCATGCAGCTAATAAACTGGAACTAGAGCAGGGACTCAAACCCAGAGTTGTATGTACACTTTTAACCTGTGGCAAATAATTCCTGGAGTAATGATCACAATGAGAACTCACCAAAAGAGCCAAGTAAATTGTTGCTACTCATTCATAAATTTCCTGAAAATATTAACTGAATACCAAGTATCAAGCATTGTGCTAGACCTGGGGGAATGCTGAGATGAAAGACATAGCACCCCACTAAGAGGACACGGAATCAGAGGCAAGGTTTGGCTTTAGCTAAGATTGATATGTAGCATGGAGATAGGAAAAGGAACACGAGGGGCAAAAAGCTAAGAAACCGAACAAGCAAAAAAACAAAACAAAAACAAAAACAAAAAACCCCAATTCTGGGCCTTCCTGGTGACTCAAGGGGTTAAGATGCAACCTCTGAGCTATCAGCAGCTACTGCAGCACGAGTTCAATCCCCAGCCAGGGAGCTGCCCACATGGCACAGCAGACCTCTTCTGACTCACCCGCTACTGCCCTCAGGAGTATATTTCAGTCAGTCTGCCTCTTCTGTTCCCAGCTCTGTCTCTGGTAAATCCTTTCACCCCCGACGTCTCTGGCCTGTACCCCAGTTCTTGTATGCATAAATAAAATAAATCCTAAAAAAAAACAACCCAACTCAGTTAAATGGAACCTGGGATTTAAAGCACTATCAGATGGGTAAGTAGAGGTCTGAAAAAATTAATTGTCAAATTTAATACAACCACTGCTTAGTTAGCACTTTGGTGAACATTTCTGTTTCCATCCTGAGAGAAGAAATGCTAGCACAATGGCACACAGCTCATTTTGGAGCATGGCACATCTACGCTCCTCTCAAGGAAACACACTCACTGCCTTTCCACAAACTTAGAGGGAGACGAGCCGTTAACTGGAATCACTTCTAAATAGCGATTATTTAAAAGGTTCATATCAGAAAGAAAATACCCTCAAATCCGCTAAGGGGCATAACTAGTTTCATACTTTACTCCAAAAGTCTCTCAAATATAAATAATCAGATCAATACATGGACAGTTATTTGATGATATTTAATCAAGGGTCAAGTTTTATTTATTTATTTTAAAGGTCTTGTCCTCAAGTTACAAGTTTCAGTTTTTTTTAAAGATTTATTTATTTATGCATACAAGAGCTGGGGTACAGCCAGAGGTGGGGGGGGGGTTTAGAGGATTCACCAGAGAGAGAGTGGGTAACAGAACAGGCAGATC